TTTATAGACTTGTGAGGACCAAAGGCCACAGCAGTTTCTCTATAGAGATCTATGAAGCATGTCCAGTGTGTGTGTGTGTGTGTGTCGATGCGGCAGATCCGAGCTCTTGTCTTCACCCTCCTCATCACATGGTTCACACGCAGTGTGTGGTTGCCAAGACAACAGGTAGTGGAGTGGATAGAGTCCCCTCGGGGATCGGTGTGTGTCTGTCTGTGTTTGTCAGTGTGTATCTGTGTGTGTGTGTGTGTGTGTGTGTGTGTGTATGTGTGTGGTTGTGAGTGTGTATCAGTGTGCGTGTGTGTGGTTATTGTGTATTCTGTATCCTCTCTCTTCGTCCTGCTGCAGCTCTGAAGCAGCTCGATCAGTGAAGCGTGCAGTCAGTATTACCATGCTGACTGTGGGACTGACTGAGTGTGTGTGTGAGTGGTTGTGTGTGTGCGTGCGCATATAGAGTGTGTTTATGTGTGTGGGCTTTTTTTAATGCGGTCTGAGGATGTCGTCCAAGGTGACTCCTCTGAGAAAATCGGGTCGTGTTCATCAGTGATTATAACGGATTAAAGAGAGTGAGGGGAAGAAGAGGAAGAGGAGGAAGATGAAGAAGAAGAGGAGGGGTGGAGCTTGATAATTAGCTGATTTAATTGATTCACTGATTAACGGGAAATTAAACATTAATTAAACATTATTTATTAAACAAACTGCTGAATATTCAGTTTCCTGCCTCAGATATGAGAAGGATCTATTTTATGTCACTGTGAACTCAAACTGCAGCTGATGATATGTTCAATGTTGATTAATCTGTAGGGCGGATCAATACCTAAATATTGACACTATGGATACTATGGTTTCATTTGAAATCAATCCTGGCGTCAGTAGGATTCGTACCAAAAAAGGGACCAGTTTCTCTCCTCTACGGTGCACCTGCTTGTGTTTGTCGTTGTCGTGAACACATCCTGTGCACGTACTGTCTGCTTCTTAAATAACCTGCGCCCGGCACACATGCAGCACACGGCGGCCTGTATCCTGACTTATTTAATATGACACATTACAGCAGAGACGTTTTAATGAAAGAGGAAAAACACAAGAAAGACAGAAAGGAGTTCAGTGACAATAAGCTCAGAGAGGCTCAGGTGAGCAACATTCGGGTACATGTTCCAGTGCAGGGGTCGGTAACCTGCCGCCACCTCCTGCGGCTCCTCGTGGCTTTGACCAGAAATTATATGGTAATCTATAACAGTAATTTTTTAACATTTTGATTTTAATTTATCCTTGCTGAAGCCCTAAAGTAATTCTTACACTTTCCAACTGTATACATGTGTAGCCTATACACTGAATACAAAAACATGTTTCAACATCGCGTCAACTGTGTGCGTCATACGTCTACGGCCTGCTGCCTGTTCCTAAAAGTTTCCAAATCTGATTAGTGATGGCTGAGCTTGAGTCTCCTCAGTGAGGCTAGTTATTGATTCCTAATCCAAAAGGGAAATGTCTCGGAGGAAAATAGAGGAGTTGGAGTTGGATGAATTTGTTCGCTTTCACCAACGCTGCAAAGTTCAAGTACCAAATAATTGTTGAGTAAAACATATTAATAAATACTCATTTAGACCTGTTAGGAATGTTTACAGGCTAATTCAGATTTAATAGGCTGTGCTGCTTCACTGTAAGGCTCAAATATGTTGTACAGCTCCAGACTGATTTTTAAAGAATGTTTCGGCCCATGGTGGCTCTTTTGATAGTAAAGGTTGCCGAACTCTGGTCTGGTGAAATTAATGTTTCAGTCAATCAGAGCTTCAGTGTTCGTTAATGCCTCATTTTCAGACTGTTATTGGTCGTCATCAGCTGTTCATTTAACAGACTGATTGTTCAGCTGATAAGTCCTGACACACTGCTCTCCCCTCCATGAAAGTACAGAAGCTGATTTTATAATAAAAAGCATTGTGTCAGTTTATTGGATAGCGTTGATTCAGGCCCTGTATCACTTGGTATTGGATCAAAACCATATTTTCTGTCAGTTATTTTCTCTGTGAGCTGTTTGTTCTATAAAATGGTGAAAATGTCGATCAGTGTTTCCAAAGCCCAAGAAAATGTTCTCGAATGTCTTGTTTTGTCCTCAACGCAAAGATACTCAGCTCACTCGTTGTCATTAGGTGTGTTTACATGGACTTTAATATTCTACTGATAATCAGAATAAAAATGTCTCAATCAGAAGAGACTGACCTGAGCAGAGTGGAAACCTTTGATAATCTGTTCAATGGGAAAAATTAGCACCTGATTAAAACGTAAACCCTTAAATTTGATTGTCTCTCTCCGGTTCGAATAAATATATTCTCTCTGTGTTTATATGGCCACATCAGGGGAACATTAGGTGATGGTGTGCTGCACATGACATGTCAGTGCTCTGATTGGTCAGTGGTGTAGTGGAGGGTATGCTCAGGTTTACGGGGTACACTCACCTCTTTTTCTTTCTGATAACAGTAAACCCACCTATCAGCCAAAAAACCACTGGAATATATCGAAGGGTATACTCACCTCCTCCTCTGTAACCTACCCATCTACCGAGTAGTACACCCACCTCATCAGCTAACACTCCACCACTGTGATTATTAAGTGTCTTCTGTGGTTTTTAAATGGTCGTCTTGTTGCTCCAGGCTGAACTGTGGAGTTACTGGTTGTAACAATCATCCATCACTACCAGCAGCCTGCTCATGAGACGTTTAGGGACCATCGGTAAATTGTTGCATTTACTGATAGTCTGCGTGTGATGTGTTTAGGGTACGCCTGTAATTTGTAGCTACTGAAACCTGGATTACACTAATGTTCCTATATTGTACTTATGTTACTAAGGTTACTAAGTATTTAGTACCTATGTACCAAGGTTGGAAAAAACTTCTTCTGTTTTATTTCCAGCAGACTGGATGCTTCACAGCGGGCAGAACGACTCTGCACAGGTCACAAGATTGATGTTCTGATTAAATATTCTGGGGCATGTAAACGCACATCATATAGATAGATTAGTTTTTTTACTCTACATCTGAACAGTTTGAATCTCTGATCAGAATGATTTCAGTCTGATTAAAGACAAAACCGCAGCTACAGAGGAGGAAAGAAACCAAAAGATGTTCATATTTAAGAAGCTGGAGTCAGAGAAATTTGACTTTATTTAAAATTACTCAAACTGATTAACTGATGATCAAATTAGTTTGATTAATTTAATAGTGACAACAAATTGATTAATTGTCGCAGCTCTACTGTGAATTTAATGTCTTTGAATAAGACGTCGCTTTGGACTTTGAGAGGTTGTGAGGAACATTTTAAATCTGATGACTGTGAGTCACGTTTGAGGCCTCTGACTCTGTGGATACTCATGTCCATCTCTGTTGGTCCAAACTGTGACAGTTCACTATTATTGGATGGATTGTGATAAACTTTAGTGCAGAGGTTCATCTTTCCCAGAGGTTGAATCCTGCTGACATCAGTCATACTCTGACTTTTTCCTCTATCGTCACCCTGAGGTTCACGTGTGTAGTTTTTAGTGAAATATTATTGGCCTAGGGGAGGAGCAGTTGGTAAATTCAGTTTGACGCTCTACACTAAAATGAGAGCCCTGTTGGTGGAAGAAACGCAGCGTTATATTTCTACATGAATGAACCAACGGTTAAGTTAATCACACATTCACTCCGCTCGGCGCTCTGCTGCTCCGTCTCCACAGACACAGTGTCCAGAGTGCGCTCTGCCACTCTGAGAGTGCGCTGCTCTGGATAACCCAACGCTACATTCAGACAGCGCTCCCAATTTATCAACGCTCCAGTTTGTGTCAGAGTGCGCTCCCACACTCACAATGAGTGTTTCTGAACGCACCACTCACATCATCTTCCTCCATCGTCTAAAACAAGACAACACAACTTGTTAGCTAGCGCTAGCTAATGTCTTAATGTCTGTGGAGAACTGTTTTGCCTCCAGCTAAGCCCCTCCCACCATCAAACATCATACTGTATGTTTTGAAGCTCTTTATATGACCACATCAGTGTGAGGAGATTTATTTTAATTCTGCTGTATCTCACTTCATAAATGATGACATCATATCGTAACGTGACTCAGCAGCGTTTTCATCGTGATGCATCTCAAGAATAAATTTCAAAGTAAAACATGAGAGGCCACTTTAGTTAAAAAGAAAGTCGGACAGGAGGCAGCGACTCAGAGGATTAATGAGCTTCTGACGTCTCCTGCATGAATAATAGAGTTAAACTGAGCCGTCTGATGTGTGTGTGTGTGTGTGTGTGTAGAGGTGTGTGTGGTTACTGTGTATCAGCCTGGAGTCATTAACATGTGGTTTAATGAAGGTAAACACAGTGAAGAGTGTGTGTGAGTGTGTGTGTGCAGACTGTTTGTGTCCTGCTGTCTTCACACGTCTGCAGAGATTTAATGAACCAAAGTAGAAACTTTTCAGCTGGAGAAAACAGACACTGAAGAGTCACTCCGATTATTTTATATTCACAGACGTTCCTGCTTTAAACACATTTAATGTTTGTTTTTAAAGCTGATTTAAATTAATCATTTTAAGGATTGTTCGGTCATTTCTGAGTGATGAAACAGATTTGGTTCTTAAACATCTATTCTCAGTGCAGAGTCAAATATTTCCACCAAAGGTCCAACGGGCCGCTCAGCGTTGCCTCATTTGAATGAAGCTCCCGCCTGTGCACCGTGCGCTCTGTGCTGGACACCAAAACACCACACAGACAGGAAAGACAGTTTCAAGGTCGGGAAAATACCAAACAGTCGGAGCACTGCTTCCGCTGATTGTTGTGTTGCCATGAAAAGAGTCTGCAGTCGTGTTTTTCAACACACAACAACAAGATGAACTAAATAGAAACAATAAAAGATGATCTGCCGTCTTTGTGGAGGTGAAATGAAAAATAAATATTCAGTTATTTTGCTGCCACAAATGAAAACATTGTCTTATGTGTTCAGTTTACAGTGACGTCTATCTGTGTGTGTGTGTGTAGATGTGCGGGCCCAGTTGGTGGAGCAGCAGCGCTGTCTGGAGCAGCAGACCGAGATGCGGGTCCAGCTGCTTCAGGACCTGCAGGATTTCTTCAGGAAGAAGTCGGAGATCGAAACGGAATATTCCAGGAACCTGGAGAAGCTCGCCGAGAGGTTCATGGCCAAAACACGCAGCACAAAAGACCATCAGCAATACAAGTAGGACTGAGTGTGTGTGTGTGTGTGAGAGAGTACATACATGTACTTGCTACATAGTGGGGACTGAATCATGGACCAACAAAGTGAGGACATTTTGGTTGGTCCCCACTTCTTTAAAGGCCTGTTTGAGGGTTTGGACCTGGTTTTATGGTTCAGGTTAGAATCAGGTTTAGGTTAGCATAAGGGGGTTAGGCATGTGATTTGGTGATAGGTATGGTTAGGTTAAGGGGCGAGGGAATGTATGAAGTCTGTGAGTGTCCTCACAAAGACAGAAGTAGACGAATGTGTGTGTGTGTGTGTGTGTGTGTGTGTGTGTGAATCCAGTTGAAATGAAAAGGGTCTTTTTTTTTTACTAAAACGTCAATGCATATATTTTCTGTTTGGTCAAAGTGTAATTATAAAGAAATCAAATTCTGCAGTGATGGCGCCCTCTGCTGGTGCTTACATAAATATTTGATGCTGACGATGTCTGTGCTGTAATTATCATGCTAGGCTAACTAGCTTCCACACTGCAAGACAGATACAAACCTAAAGCAGCAGTAAGAGATTTTTTTGCATCTTAGAGACAGTTGAACAAGCTGTTCGCACAATAATGAGTGTGTTTCTGTGTTTGACAGCTAGTTGCTAACTTTGTCTTTCTCACATTAGAGTATGTGTTCACACAGGAAGTGTAGTTGACATAAGCTGGTGTGTTTTTACTTCACTTAAAGGATCTGTCTCTGTCTGTCTTTCAGAAAGGATCAGAACCTGCTGTCTCCAGTCAACTGCTGGTACCTGCTGTTAAACCAGGTCAGCTGTTTGTGTTTGACCGGGGTCCCATGGATCCTTTTCATCCTTTAAATTTTGTGAATTTGAGGGGGAAATCAAGAGCTTGAAAGATTTAGAAAATGGACAAAAACAGACATTGAAAGTGTTTAAATTTATAGATTTTGTGCAAGAATAGAAACTGAAGTTCTTTTCATTTTTTTTTTTTTTTCACTTAACGTTCAAGCAACGTTCTGCTGTCTGCATGTGTTTCTTGCATCACATGTCTCAAGAAAGTACGACCATCACATGCATGCTTATTGATGCTGTTATATATCAGCAAGAAAGCTCACATTAAAGGTCCAGTGTGTCAGATTTAGGGGGATTTAGTGGCATCTAGTGATGAGGGCTGCAGATTACAACCAGCTGAAACTTCTCCTGGTTAGAATTCCTTCAGTGTTCATTGTTCAGGAGCTGAATTATCCTCAGAGGTCTTTTCCTCTCAGAAACAAACAGAGCACCTGATTTAAACCAGGAAAAACACTGAATAAAACAGTTTCATGTTACAGATCAGTGTTTCACAAAGCTTCCTGGTACACAGAGTCGCTCCTAGTGACGAAATTCTAAGACAATTCTTAAGGCCCTGACACACCAAGACGACGGTCGGTCGTCGACCAAAGTCGGGCCGTCAGTGAGCGTCTGTCGGCCTAGTTTTTGTGGTGTGTCCCGCACCGTCGGCACTTCGGCGTCAGTGGCTTTTCGGCTGATTGAGCATGTTGAATCGGCGGCGGAGCTTGTTGGTGAGAGAGATCACTCTGACTGGCTGTTCAGGTTTTATTTCCTCGCCCCTGTAGTGAGTGAATCTGCCTGTAGTGAAACCGGGGCTAACCGGTGCTTCCTCCTCAGGCTCCACTTCACTCAGCTGCCCCACAGACCCGCTGCTTCTTCACACTTTAACCTGAATAACAAACCGGAGCTAGCTGGGAGCAGCTAGTGGAGCGTTAGCCGCAGCATGACCGGAGGGAAGCAGCCAGTTAGCCTCCGCTAGTCTCTGAGCTAGCCCCGGCTCTCTCCGTTTGGATCCAACCGGAGCACCGAGCCCTGGTTTTTTATTCAGGTTAAAGTGGGAAGAAGCAGCGGGTTTATCGGGCAGCTGAGTGAAGTTTGTTTTCTTAGAATTTCCCCTTAAAGTTAAGACTAGGTCCTTGTCAAGATAAAAGTTATTCAGAGCATCTCAGACCTTAAAAGAGCTCCTCAGGTGAAAAACTGTTTGGAGCAGACAGTTCAGAGGAGAAAATGGTGGAAACACAAAGAGGTCAGAGAAATATTCTCCAAACACTGGATGACAGCGAGTAAATGAAACGCTACAGATCAGATCGTGCAGGGAGAATATGTGTGGTTGATATTTAGGAAAATGGAAAAAGGCGTCAGTACAGCAGTGATGAGTTGAGTCTGTCTCAACCTTCCATCAGCAGTGATCACACTAACACTGACAACACGTTCACTGTCAGCAGTTCATTTCATTTCCACTGGGTGTCCTCACCTTACAGGCTCACAGAGGGGCGTGTCTCTGATGACCACACCTCCTCACTGAGGTCACAGTTTCTGTCCCCTCCTCGCTCAGAGTCGCTCTGACAACTTTCCTAAATCACTCCTAAGCTCAGACTCCTACTAAAAATGTTTGGACTAAGTTAGGAGCTCCGTGAGAGAGTTCTCAGGAGGTTTGTGAATATGGCCCCAGATGTTCAGGAGGTTTTTACTTTGAGCCAAATTATCCGCAGAGGTCTCGTCCTCTCAGAAACAAACAGACCAGCTGATTTACAGCAGGAAAAAGGAAGACGTTTGATGTTACGGATCAATGACACTCTGGTCACAGAGGGGATGCTAGCTACACTCAAATGTCTCTATCTAGAGTCAGTGTTTGGTTTGTCCATTCTGGGCTACTGTAGAAACATGGCAGTGCAACATGGTGATCTCTGTAGACGAGGACCTGCTCCCTGTGTAGATATAAACAGCTCATTCTGAGGGAACCAGAACACAACCATTCTGATTTTTTTAGCTGATTATACACTAAAGAAAACACTGATTATTTTTTATTCCATTGTTGACAGTATATTCCTCTGAATCCTGAATGCTGGAGCTTTAACCTACAGGGCTTCTTGTAAAATGTAAATTCCAGGACCCGTTGTTCACCAAAGACATTCACAAAGTCTGGCTTATGAGTTCAGAGCCTGCAGCAAATCAATAAAAGTTCACGCCATGGATGAAGCAGCTTTCATAAGTCCTCAAGTCAGCAGTGATGAGCTCTGATCTGTGTCTCATACTGTGATGTGTTGGGTCCTTGAATCTGAGAGGAAGTCCTTAAAAGTGTTTAACAACGTGTAGGAACCCTGGTGTTAGTGCTGTCGACCTTTTTTATAACAAGAAATCTGAAAACACGAGACGTTCCATCGTCAGCTTGTCTCTGTCCTGCAGGTGAGGAGGGAGAGTAAGGACCACGCCACCCTCAGTGACCTCTACCTGAACAACGTCATCAGCCGCCTCACGCACATCAGCGAGGACTCTGCTCGCCTGCTGAAGAGGGTGAGATCATCTTCATCATCACACAAATTCACTACAGTGCCACATGAATTAATCCACTGCTGAAAATAGTCCCCAACAAATGTCCTCCAGTGTGTTTGATTAAAACCTTCAATAAGCAGCTGTTTGAATCCCTGATCAAACTGTAGATTTGTGTTTGTAAAGATTCACATGTCGAGGCTGAGAGACACAGACAGAGATCAATACCTTTATGACCACTGGGTGGGTTTTATCCTCTGATTGGGCCACTTCCTGTCAGTCTGCAGCTCTTACTCTCAGGACGAAGACGCCTCTGACACGTGTGACCTGAGTAATAAACCATAATTAAGGTGATGTTTTATAGCCGTTATAAACCAAACGTTTTACTGTAAATCTTTATAAATGTTCCAGGCGAAGTCCCCTCAGTGTCCGGCTTTAAATCTGCCGCAGTCGCTCCACTAATGGGTTGTGAAGTCGAGCATGGACGCTGGCTGCGCAGAGAGGAGGGAAAGAAAATGTAATAAATGCTGCAGGTTTTCTTTACATGTAGAAAAAATGAGTCGTTATTTATTGATATATAATTGCTTTGAGATCTCAGCACGCTGCAGGATTCATCTCAGATCAGAGACGGATACTCTTTTCAGTGAGACTGAAGTGAGGAATGGTTCCAGTACCACGCTGTAAAAATATTTAATTACTAATACAAGTCCTGCGTTAAAATCTTGTATAAAGTATTACACGTAAAATGTGCTTAAAGTATCAGAAGTGGATGGTTTTGATGGTGTTTTATTATGATTGAGTCTATAGTTTAAAGCTTTTGGTCACAGAAATAAATGTGAGGATCTTTTTTTTGTGACTTATTTTAAAAAATATCGTCTGTGCATTGTTACGTCCTATAAACTTTATTTTCATTAAGAAACTAAAAACCAAACTGCCCCATATCCATTGGTAGCTTTGTCACCTTCTACCTATGCCAGTCCTCAATGCCTATGTGCAGTTTCACATAGATTGACCACGTCAGTGAGTAGAAAAACGTGGGACAGACAGAATGACTGACTGACAGAATGACACACTGACAGTTTCCGTGATTATGTACAGCATACCATACCATGACTTAGTCATACCAAACATTAGAAAACA